GTATGGTATTTAGATTATAGTGTGATATCTAGATTATAACGTGGTATTCAGACTATAGCATGGTATTTAGATTATAGTATGATACTATAACCTAGTCTAAGTGGGATACCACGCTTTAATATAATTATATTAAAGCGTGGTATCCCACTATATTTATTATAAAATATGCAATAAAAGGTTTACAAAAAAAAAAGCAGATTAAAGGAAAATCTAAATTTTTTTTTTAAAAAAAATTTATTTTATTAATTCTTATAAATATTTTTTAAAAAAAAAAAAAATAATTTATAACAATAAAATGTATTGTTAATAATCAATTATATAAAATTTTCTAGAGAACATTCTTCATGTAAATGATTGATCATGATTAAATGCTTTAATGTTTTTAATATTTTATATTTGTTTTAAACACTTTTTCTTTACACGTTTCTTATTATAATCATTATTCAATCAAAGTTATATTGATAACATACGTAATATCCAAAAATAATAATTACTTTAATTGATTTGATGTATTCAGGTTTAACATATTGAACTTGGTGAATCGGTACCAGGTTCGTGCAACTTCCAGGTTGTTTATTATTTTACTTGCCGTTTTCGTCATAAAATGAGGTGATCATGTGATGATTTACAAGACATTGATCTTTAGATGTTGGACTAATCTAAATCACATAAGATAATAATCTAAAATAATCTATTGATAATATAAATATACACATACATGTATATAAATATATTAAATCTATTAATACACCGATTACAAATCAAGTTTCCCAAACAATAATTTTTTAGTGTAGACAATAAAGATTTGAAATTTCTTTCTGATAATGATAATTGTTTTCTCCGCAAAAGAAAACGCTTATTTTAAAAAGACAATTATTTTTAAACACGGCGAAACGTTACACGATAACAATTCCAACCTGTTTGGAATCCAGCCTAGACATCGTCAAATGACACATAACTTTAATATTACTCTTTACATAGAGAAGATTATCAGGCGAGAAAGACTTCCCCCATTTCAATTATTACAAAGGGCATCATAAGACTTTCAAACATGTAAAGAAAAAGAACTTGATAATATGATTGTTTAAAATTTATGTAGTTGTATCTTGGTTCATCAATCGGAGAAAAAAAGAAATTTATTCCGAGATGTATTAATGGTCCGTCCATTTTTTATTATGCATATTTGCATATTTCTGACATTTCAACAGTTTGAGAAAATATAAAGAAATGATGATTAAAAGAAATTCATAAACGAATGAAACTGACACATTAATATTATTCATGATAATTTTTTTCATCAAAGCTGACACATTCAATTAAAATTTTATTTCATCGTTAAAACGTATACACCATGTATTAATGTAAAATGTCCGTGAGTAATGCTATTAACGAAGTAGATTGGTGTTCCATATGATCAGGTGTTTTAAAGTTTGAAACAAATGCCATATTACCAAGCGAAGGGAAAAAATAAATTGACCTTTATTTGGATGATAAACAAAATAAAAAAAAGGGTCTTTATTAGTTCCGCTTATGAAAGAAAGAAAAAAAAAAAAAAAAAAAATGAACCTTTATTAGTTTAGTAGGATTACCTTATACTTTGTAATCATTAAAAGGTCAAGAGAGAGTAATATTGCGCACAGCACAACATAAAAAATTTTATTAACAACGGAGACCACATGGAAAAATTAAACTTTTTAATCAAAATTAATTTGGGTTCATTGTTTTATTAGATAGATTAAACCTAGTAATACATTAGCCATATATTGAAATGCTGCGCAAGTCATGCAATTTTGAAACGAGTATCCTTACAGGTGTTCATGTCACTTTATTCACATACTAGTAGAATAAGAGAAGGAAAAAAACTTGAATTTTCCTTATCAAATGTTGTGTAATCGTTTCCAGACTTTGAGTATAACAAAATGAGATCTCACAATTAAAATCATTTTAACCAAAAAGAAAAGAAAAAAAAAAAATTATCATCCTTCTTTGAGAAAATCTACTCCGAGATTTTCTTTTACTTTCTTTTATTTTCTTTTTTTTTTATCTTTTTTTTTTCCTTTTTCTTTTTTAACATCTCGCGTGCTATACCTTTTTTTCATCGGATGTACAATATACATACATGAGTTTATTATAATTAAATTTAAGGTATTTTTTTTTTTTTTTTTTTTTTCTTTCTTTATTCAAAAATAGAACCCTTTTTTTAAAAAAAAAAAAAAATTTAAAGTTTTACCAAATAGGGTCGAAGATGCATCATTCATCTTTTCTAATTTCTCTAGAACATCTTTTTTCAATTTATTCTCAATTTACCAACTGAACAAATCAATTCTTTTTTTCAATCATGAACTTATTAGTTAAGCCGTATCACCTCATTACTTGTTTATTCTAATGAATACCGGAATTTGAAGGTTTTTCGAGCAACAGAATTTACCATATTTCGTCTTATAGCAATGCCAAATTTCGTAAAGTGGCAAGATTTACATCGTACATGATTACTCTCCCCTTTGATATAGTGGAAACCATTCAACCCACTTACGATTTCCGATCAAATAAATAAATACATTAATATTTTAATATACAGTATTATCATTTAAAAGATTTATATTGGGCAATCAACAAAGGAACTCTTTTTTTTTTTTTTTTTATAAAAAAAAAAACTGTTGCCTTTATTCAAAATGAAACGTTGCAAAAAAAAAATTTATTATTTTTTTCTTTTTTTTAAAACGGTGACACGTTCGTTTTACGTCATGTATAAAGGATTCAACTTATATTACATATTATATTACATATAACCATTAATGTATATTGTTTAATCGACCTCTCCCGCAAATCCCCCCAAATGGAGTAAAAAAAATATAAATATCGCCATTTTCACCCTTTTTTTCTTTTTTTTTTTTTTTTTCTTCAGAATTTGTCTCTCGAGATTAATTCTCTTTTATTGATCAAATTTGTAAAATTTGTAAATAGTTTTGTTTATATTTGTTTCATTTGAGATTATTTCCTTTTTTTTTTCACAAAAAAAAAAAAAAAAAAAAAATGACTATCCCCACTAAACTAAAAAAATTTTTCGGAAAGTGTAAAAAACTCTCTTGCATAACAAAAATTACCAAGAACAAGAAAGAATCAAAAGAGTCCATCAAATCTTCTACCGTTACCATCACTAATACCATCACCAAGGTGAATAATGATGCAACTACACTTTCGGAGAAACAACTACTAGTCATTTTACCAAAGGAAAAGGAATTAGTTCGGTTAGATAAAAAATCTCCACCGCCACCACCCCCGCAACCGCAACAACGACAGCAACTCGTTCTACCAAAAGAAAGGCAATCCACCCAATTAGACACTAAACCACATCAACAACAACAACAAAACCAACAACAGCATCAACAACAACAACAACAACAACAAGAACAAGAACAAGAACAGCATTATCATCATCATCAACATTCATCATTTGGTAAAAGATCTAGTATTAACAATATCTTCAATAAATCAAAGCTCATTCATCCAAGGTAATTATTAAAAATTTTCATCACAACAAAGAAAGGTTTCCCGTTAGTTTTTTCTAACATGCATTTTTTTTTTCTCCTTTCCTAACTCTTTCAGTAGTTATGTTCATCAGGTTCCCATAAAATTAAACGTAGGAGGAATCATTTATATGACAACACAACAAACATTATGCACATACCCTTCTTATTTATCCGAATTATTTTTCATATTTCGTTCTCCAAACTCTCCCCCCACTTCGACCTATTCGCAATACCCATGGCCCGAAGAATTATTCATTGATAGAGATGGAGAACTTTTTATTCACATCCTAACCTTTTTAAGAAATGGCACTTTACCATACTCCACCCCATTAAGCATTTTACAAAAATTAGAATATGAGGCCAAATTTTATGGCATAAAACCGTTACAAACATTAATCTACCAACGTATACAAATACATTCCTCCTCTCCAAAGTTTAAAGTCATCCCCATTGAAAGATTGAGCGATGAAGAATGTGATTTGGAAGATGATGACGAGTTCACCACTAGTCCTAGGATTTGCCTAAAGAGATCAAATTTATCTTATTGTTCAACTACTTCCTCTTATGATATTCCTCAACAACAGGATGATGCGTCCATATATTCTTGTTCTTCCTCCGGGGATTCATCCGAAGAAGTTCCTATCATTTACAACCCTGGTAATACAACGTCCAACACTTGTAGCACAGTTACGCCCACCACTTATACTCGTACTCCAAAATCTTCCATTTCCACTTCAAATTTTACTATTCACAAAAATTTGTATCTATCTTCCGTTTCTGCTCAACATTATGACTACAAACCTGATTATGAGATTATTTCAATTACTAATGCTCCCACCATAAATGATTTGGAAAGTTTGGACCAATTTCATGTACCTGATGAAGAGCTTTACGCCAAAGATTTGGCTACTTTTGCTGTATTACAACGCAAAGATAAATAGTTAATGTAGACATAGAACACTTGTTTGTACATATCATATAAATACCAAAAAATAATTGTTGTTGAACTTTTGGTTGGATTAAATGGACATTTTTTTCATATATATATTTTTCTTTCCTCTATTTCTTTTTTATACATAGACATTTTTTTTTTCATCTTATTTTTTCATTTATAAATAGATTACGTACGTATAGAATTATTTTTTTTCTTTTTTTTTTAAAAAATAATAATCGTAATTTTTAAGTAAACATTTTTCAAATCTTTTTTTTTTAAAAAAAAAAAAAAAAAAAAAAAAATAAAACAAAGTGATTTCTTTTTTTAATAATTTAATCTCTTCTTAATTCCTCTTTTTCTTAATTTCTTAATCTCTTCTTAATCTCTTAATATCTTCTTGACTTCTCTTATATCTCTTAACTACTATTCTCTTAAAATCTTCTTGACTTCTCTTATATCTCTATACTACTATTCTCTTAAATTCTATTCTATTAAATTCTTTAATATTATTCTCTTAAATTTTCTTATTATATCTCTTGAATTCTCTAACTTTTATTCTCTTAAATTCTCTAACTTCTATTCTTTTAACTTAATTTAATCTTTTCTTAATCTTTAATAAATATAATTTAATTATAATTTTTGTACAAATGAAAAAAAGGTTCCCTGTTGATAAATCATTTTGAATGTTTTTTTTTTTTTACGTTGAAAATCATTTGGACTTGAATTTTTTCGCTCAAAAGTAAAAACAGAATCATCGGGATTGTATTCTTCGTGTAACTTTGTAATAAATTCATTAACCTTTAATTTCAAATTATAATGAATAATCTCCAAAAAATGAAAAAAGGGAAAAAAAATTAAATTCGAGATGCACATGAATGATAATTATTTGTGACACGGAAACTTTAATAAAAAATACAAGTGTGAAATCCTGAAATGGATCTTTTTTTTTTTTTTTCGGATAGTTATCATCTTCATCATCATCATCAATCATCATCAATTTTGAATTTTTGAGAAACCATTACGTTAACTAATACAACACATTTAATTTGGAACGAATTAGGATATATTACGTCCCCAGGTTTTTCATTATTGAACATGAATTGTATCAGCTTAACGGAAATGTTCCTCCTAATCCAAAAGGATATTCCACAGAGAAAAATTTAGATTGAAGATCAATTTTTATTTTTGGAAACATTTTATCTATTTTATTTCTCAAAAAAAAAAAATATGTGTGGTTGGTCAAAATACCTTGGCAAAAAATAATGTCTTTCATTGTGAATAAAAATGGTTTGGAACCTTTAAAAAAAAAATGAGTAATTGTATTAAAAATTCCTGTTTCAGAAATTTTATGTGACAATTAACATCACCTGCCACATCGTCAAAATCCATGACGTTATTTGTTGCACGAAAACCTTAAAAACTTTTTTTTTAATTTAAACTAATTTATTTATTTATTGATATAATATTATGTGGTTATTAAAATGGATTGGTAAAAAAATATTTTTCGAATTCACGAGCACAAACCCTTTTAGTTCTAGTAAAGAAACTGGGATTACCTAAATTTACTTTTTCATTCATTAATAAAATAAAAAAAATTAATTTCATTGAAAAAATTCCTTTATCAACCTATTATAATGAAAGCTTATGAGGCAGTTAAACGAAAACTTGATCCTTCCTTTTGCGAATAAGGAATAATAAGAAATGTAATAATGAAGACAGGAAAAACCTGAAATGAATGAATAAAATTTAAGTGTGCTACACTAGGCAAAGACAATCAAATATTGAAAAAAAAAAAATACAAAAAAGAAATACTTCAAAGAACCATTTTTAGTACCTACAAGAAGTTAAATGAACTACCTAAAGAGTGAGATAAGACTATGGTGTAAATAAACATGACTCGAATTTTTGTGTACCACATTGGTGATAGGCTAAGCTATTATTTCCTTGTTCGGCAGAAATCATTAATTTTATTTTGTAAATCTCAACGTCCTTATTTTTATTTTTTTTAAAAAGGTTAGTTCTTAATTTACTATTTGTATAACTGAGATTTCGTACACCCATGAAAAAAGAAGGTAGATATTCTACTTCCGCATACTGTTTTCCATGCAAGTTCCTTCATGATATTTTTGGGAATATCTAAGAAAGACTTCCAAATGTTCATTCGTGATATTTTCATAGTATGCTAGTTCCATATTGCTTTACAATTACGAAAATAATGCTTTTAGAACGTTCAGACTAAAGGACCAATTAGGTAAGATTTATGATATGGTACGACGCAGAAGATTTCCTTGTCAAAGGTAAAATTTCACCAGCCTCTATTTGGTTACTCACTTTCAACTGTCGACAATATTAGAACAATTGGTCTACGAAATTCACATAAAAAATATATATATATATTTTTATCTCTAGGTTTTAAAAAAAAACTCTATTTAGAAAGCATAATTCCGCCGTTAATTTCCAAATTCTCTTTTTATATTTCCCATTCCCTGCTTTAAAAAATATTGAAAGCGGTATCAAGTACAATATAATCCGGTAAGATCAATATTTTAATGTGAACCTTTACACTATACCAACTCTAAAAATGCATTTTAACAAATGTACAAGGCCTATAACATCAATAAAATCCAATATATTTGATGATCTCTTTTTTTCTTCTGTCAAAGATATACTCCAAAGTGACAAAGCTTAATCTGTTTTTGAGTGTAGATTATACAAGTATAAAGTTTGAAAAGGAACAACGATATTAAAGAAAGTGATCAATTAAAACTTGAACTATAAAATAAATATTGAAATGAAAAGTGGTTACATGAAATAATTTTCTACAAGTCAATGGAGGCATGATTGAAATTTTCATTCCCCAAGATATTATTTATACTAGGAATCCATAGAAAATCGCGTGCTGCAAAACAAGATATATCCGATATTACTATAAATTCTTTGCAATGAGAAATGAATTTCTAACTTTAACAAAGATACCCCATATTATATTATCTTTTGATCAAAATTATACATCCAGTCAAACAAGATAGTCTTCCACCAAAGTTTTTATAAAACAGAAAAAGAAACTTTAATAAAAAAGGATAAATTTTCATTATAAAATATAAAACTACAGATAATCTTAAAATAAAATTCTATATTTAAGAAAAGTTATAATTTTTTTTCTTTTCTTTGATTATTAGTATTGAATAGAAAGCAATATAAATTCTATAGATAAGGCTATATTAATGAAGTTATTAAATTAAATTAAATAAATATAATTAATTATATTATAAGTTAAATATTTTATAAATTTTAATTAAAACCATAACTTTTTATTATTTAATATTATTAAGAATTTTAAGAATTTGATAAAATATTAATGGATAAAATTATAAATTAAATTAGTTTTTAATTACAAAACTAATAAATATTATATACTAAAATTAAACAATTTTATAATTTTTTTATTAATTTATCAAATTGTTTAATTATTTAATATTAGTAAAATTTTGATTTTAAAGAAAAATAATTATTAAATTATAAGAGATAATTTTATTAAAAAAAATAAACTTATCAGAATTGTATAAAATTATTATATAAAATTATAAAATTATAAAGCAATTTAATTGAATTATATAAACTAAACATTTTAATATAAATTAATATTAAATAAATCTAATATATAAGAAAAATGCAATAAAATCAGACAAAATAAACTGAAAATGGCTAGTGTAACTAAAAAATCAATTAATTTAACTAATGACATTATGGTAAAACTTTATTTAATTTATAGCTGTAATTCATACACAAATATTTTAATGATATCTTAGATTTATTGTTATATAGTATAAATAAATGCAATTAGTATTCATATATAAAAGTAAAATAAATTTATATTCACTAAAAACTAAAATACTTATTATAATATACTTTCAAACTATACAAAATAATTATACATAGTTTCTAATGAAAGTAAGATATTTGTACTATCTAAAAAAGCTTTTATTTAATAAATATAATTTTATCTTTTAATAAGAGTTTATATGTAAATAAAAATAATAATTAATTTCATTTGTAAATATTTTTCTATAAAATTGCAAAAGCTTTCATACTTTTGCTCTTTCTCATTACTAAAAGTATTGAAAAGGGCAAGGGTAGTTCCCACTAAGGAGTGGTAGCCTCCCCAGTGCCTTCTTGCTATATTCTTTTTCTGTTTCTCGCATCTCTAGCTTATTATAATTACTAATTATATTTCTTGCCTAGCTGGAGACTCTGCA